GGCTTTCGTTTTGCCTGTTGCGATTTTAACTTGATTTCTTCTCGATTTAAAGTCTGCGATATGTTCTCGGCTTATACGAATTGTCTGATCAAAATCGAGCATCCCCGAAGGGGCTGACCAAAAGTTTGGATTTCTTTTATAGCGCGCTACTTTATCCTAGTCGGATGTATGCGGACCAATGGGTCTATGCGTTTGGTTAAGATGGCTAGCGTGCTTGACGGGGCCAGTCGTCGAGCGTTTGTGATCTTTATAGTCGTGGACGGACTTTGGGAATATTTCTTTAAGATTTTAGGCGACGTATCGCTTAATTCATTTTCGAAATATTCGTTGTGTAAGTGTTTGATCGAAACGACCAAGTAATTTTTGCGCTGCGGAAATAATTTCCGGATGTTTCGAGTTCGTTTATTCGATGGTAGAAAGATGTTACGAGATTCAAACTTTGTCTTTATTTACAAATTTCAAAATTTCCGATTACAAAGCGAATATTTAGAATTTTGGGAGTATACGAATACTCGTATACTCGTAAAGCGAATATTTAGAAAGGGGGATAGCTGAACTCGTCTTTAGGCGAGCTGCCTATGTATTCCTTTCGGAAATCAAGCCATCTCGTAGTTCTGATTTTTGGTGCGAGTGTGTTTACTCGGCTATTGCAGAATTCTCGATCGCTTTCGTTGCTGGATCGGCGTTTTGATCCGGGTTTGTCTCCTCCGGTTGGGTAGAAGCGGTGGGTTCCGAAGTTTGTTGCTTCTCGACCGTTGCTGTCTTAGGGTCGTTTTCCATTGTAGGCGGTGTTAGTTTCGCCCGTTTCGGTTTTACGATTGTGATTGCCATCTGTCTTAGCCTATGTTCGGCTAAGAAACACGATCGCGACTGCCGTTGGCATCCCCAAATTGCTACGACGCCTATAGGAGTCGGAAACTTGATGCCTAGTTGGTATGTTGAAAGGACTGCATTCATGGAATTTAACCAAGGTGTGCCCATGATCACGTTGCAGATGGTCGGGCGGTCTACGACTGCGAAGTTAACGATTTTTGTTATTTCTTTCGCGGCGACCGGAAGTCGGATCGATCCCATGGTCATAGCCATTTCGTCGGAGAAACTGGTGAACGGCTTCGCGGAAGATTACGTTAACGGTGCTGCTGGTATCGACCAGGATTCTAGCAACTTCTAAATCGCTAATTACCAGGTCAATTACGAGAGGATCAGCGTGCGGTTGATCGATGCCGCTGGTCTCCGCGTATTCGAAATGGATTACTCCTCTCGAAGCGTTATCCGAGGGCGTCTTCCAGCTTGTACCGGCCTCGGCTTTTCGCTGGTATGACTTGATGGACGAGACAGTGTCGTTATAGTTAGGCGATTCGCTGATGATCATTTTGACCCTTCGACGGTTAGCATCGTTACCTCTCTCGTCCTGTTTTCGTCCGCGTTTCTCACCCGGCTGGTTCCCTTACGGCGGGGATTCTGCTCGCCAGTTCCTGTCGATCTTCAGGAGGCGGTCAGAATCGTGGATGAGATCCTTTACGCTTGATATTTCGGAGAGTTCTCCCGCGCCGAGAACCTTGCAGTTCACAGTGGAGTGTCCGCGGGTCTGGTGGAGATCGCAGAAGGAGTTCTCGTCGTAGTTCGAGTTCCTCGACCACATGTTCCCCACGGTTCGCCCTTGCTCCGAACCGGAGTTGATAGCGTAGTTATGAGCCCCTTGGAGATCTTGTCCCTCGTGATGGACGAATTTGTCGTTGCGAGGGTTTTTCTTCTTTAGCCTTTGCTCGGGAGCTGTGTCTTTTGCGGACGACTTCGCCGGCTTGTGCTTCTCGGACAGGATTTTAGTCTCCTCTTCGATGGTTATGTAATTCGTAGCTTTGTGGAGCGTGTCATGGATCGTCCGCGGCTTTTCGAGCCTCAGCCATTCTTGGAATTTTGAGTCGAACCACAGTGATTTCCTGAGCGCGTCGATGGCGGCTGTATCGCTTATCCCGCTAACCCTAGCCATGATAAGCTTGAATTTGTTCATGAAATCGCGGAGAGGCTCATCTTCCTTCTGGGATAAGCTCCAAAGATTGGCGTTGAGGTTTCCCGATTTATGAACATCGAGTATTGTTTTAAGAACTCCGAAGCGAGTTGGCGGAAACTTGAGATCGAGTTCCGCCTGAGCTTTGCGAACCATTCGAGCGCTGCTCGTTCTAGGTTTTCCACGAAGAGGCGGCAGTAGCCTGCGTCCTTCTGGCTATCCCTGATTTTAGCTCTCCCCATGGTGATATGCAATGCTTGTAAGTGCGCCTTGGGTTCGGTTGTCCCGTCGTAAGTCGGCACCTTAAGTTTTCCAGGATCGGGTAGCTTAATCTCGGTGATGCGAGCCGTGAAAGGCGTTTTGCGAGATTCGTACAGCAGCCGATCTATTTCAGGCGCGGCACTGGTAGCGTGGTGAATCTAGGATTTCACCGCTTTTACCGCTACGGCCGTTTTAGTTATGTACTCGCGGATATCGCGAATCTCGGTTGACCTGCCAGCAGTTTTCCGACTTCGTCGGCGTTTGCTTCGACCAGTTCGGGATCGTTCCTCAGCCGTTTTTGTGTGTTGCATGCAGTAAAGCTCATCCTTGTTCTCAGTGAGAGAACGTTCTCGAGAGGATTCTGGCTGAGGGCTGAGGTTTCTTTGCCTCCTTGGATGGACGTCCGCGCCTTCTTCCGACGAATCGGATTGGTCGCTGGTCTCCAGATTAACTATTTCGACGCCGTCTGCCTCGGTCTCCTGTCTGGGAGGAGTTTTGTCCGATTCATTCCGCGTCGCGTCAGGGTTATCTTTTTCGGAGTCTCGCTCCGTCTGGTTTCCCTGCTCAGTTCTGGGACGGTCCATAGGAGTTGTGAAGTCGAGCCTCCTTCCGCGGACCTTGGTAGATCCGCGAGGATGGATTCTATTGGTTTTCGCAGTTAAGGTCTCAACATGTTTTGCGAGCGAACCAATGAGTTTTTCTTGCTCCTCCGAGTTTTTGTTAAAATCAGTTAGCATCTTTTCGACGGCCTCGGTTTTGGCTTTAGCGTTAGCCGTGAACACATCTTGTGGTGGAGTTTTGTTAACGTTGTCACCTGCGTGAGTTGGTTGTGCTTCAGACATCGTACTTGATCGGATGTGCTGCGGCATGAGTGTAAGATAAATCCGACCCCCCTCCTTCTAGCGCCAAACTGTGGGAACCGTAATTCACCTACTGTCAAGATTTCGTAAATAAGGGAATTTAGAGTAAACCCTCATTTTCCAGAGGACCCGGCTATCTGCGGAACCGCACAAGGTTGATCAAGAACACGACAAGTATGAAAAGGATTCAAAATAAAAAGAGATTGAGAGCAAGGAGGATCATATTCCAAATTTGCGTAGAACGGTACAACAAGAGTAGCCTTAGCTGCGTGAGCTGTCGGCGAGATTCCAAACCCTAGCAATCTTAGACTAAAACCCTAGTTGAGACGCAGCTCGATTACAAAAACAGAAATATTCCTAAGTGCTAAATTTGGTGGTGAGAGCTCTGAAAATCGTGTATGTTCTTCTATCCTTGCCTTCTGCTTATATACTCCCTTCCTAGGCGGTTTGTCTTTCCTTTTCCGCCCCGATTGGAGTTTATCTGAAATCTTCCATTTGTCTCGATCTTTCCATTTATTTTCGGGAATCTTCCATAAATCTTCGGAAATCTTCTATTTATCTCCAATCCTGACATTTATCCTCTTCCTGTGAGTAAATGGTTAAACCGTCACTGTATATTCGGGTTGGGTCTTGCTTAAACCGTAGATGGACTTTCACCGTGATTTAGGTCTTTCGGGACCGTTTTGCAATAGACGTCGTTTAACGATTCTCGGTCTAGACCGTTTCCTAACACAATGATATTTTCGTAGTATTGACTCGAGCTAACTACGTAATCTTAGACAACATACGATGTTTCGTCCAATCGTTGCCGTTTTACGTGATTTACTCGAGTTTTTACGAGAAAACGAGATTTTGCGGTTTTTAGCGTAAAACTTGATTGGTAGATCGGATCGAGACGAAACGAGAGACCTTTCGAACATGGTTCAGAGGAAGGTTGGAGTCGAGAGACGGACGTTTAGCATAGGGAGAACACAAAAGGAGGCTCGGAACTCTTTGGACGTTGAACCGGTTCGGTCGAACCATGCTCGCGATGCGGTTTTATGAGTTTTTGTGTTTAATCTTAGGCAATCATGCAATCAGATCCTAGGTCGGCCTGAATGTTTTGCAGAAGCCGCCTATTATTCTTTGTCTCAGAGAGAAACACAAGTCCTAGACGATGTTTCCGACACATCTCCTTAAGACGTCGATCTATGAGGTATTTCCAATCCCTCAACGATTCCAACTAAATCTCTTCATAGCTCAAGATTGATTAGGTTCATGAATCTAACCAAGCTTTCCCCAAAATTTAAATATCCACTTTGGACTGTCATAAGGTAAAGCATACCTTGGTTTGTCATACGAACAAACAACGGAACATTAGACCTCACCGTACAAAGATACGGTAAGTACTTGAGCCGATCACAATTACAGAAACAATGAGGATTACAAAAAGTTTTAGAATTTGTAGTTGACACAAGTAGGAATCAAAGACAATGAATAACCAACGGGTTCTAATCACCACATCCGAATTAGCCCACTTGATCTTTGGCGATGGAGAAACAATGTTCCACTGATTATAGTGACGTACCCACAAAAACCGTACACTAGTAAGCTCTATCCCAAATGATTCGTCTTTGATTTCTGATAAAGATCCGTTAGCGATGAAGTACAATCGTGAGATCGTGAGTAAGCAACGGATACACCAAGGAGCGAACGCACCATTAGTAACCGAGACAAAACACATACTATCAGATTCTTAGCAAAGACTCTCAACCATCCTAACTATCAGAAATCGTTTTAGCAAAACGTATCAAGATCAAAGGATCCTGACACAAGAACTCTTCGATTGGTGATCAAGGTTTCAAAGGAAACTTCAAGCAGGAAGAGAAAGGATGCAATATCAAGCCATCGTGACTGAGAAGGTTGTCACGGGGAGAGCTCGCCAAAGGTGGTTGGGGACGTCGAAGGTGGAGATCGCCGTCAAGAGAACTCGGATTCGCAGATCATCATCTTCGAATAATCTCGGTGAGAAAGAACTCGTAACAATGGTGATCTCGTATTGATGGATACAAAATCAGGTGGAAACCATGGTCCCAAGCGGAGATCTCAATCAAACTCGTAGTGGTACTCAATATCTCGATCCAGTGATTGATTCAAAGGAAAAAATCAGAGCGGAAGACCATATCCAGAGCTTATACGTGTGTTATGTGTGATCACCTACGAGTGATTCAGACTGGTACAGCAAGCTTCGTCTTCTTCACACTTCAGATCATCATCACCATCGTCTTCTAAGCCGTGAGGAGAAATCAAAAGTGATTTGGAGAAGGGAATGTGGGAAAAACGGATCTGTAACAACGGGTCATGGGAGTGCTAGGTGATTGAAACGTCAAGGAACAGATAGATCAGGTGGAGAGCAAAACCGCAGGTGAGATTCTGATCTGAGAAGCTGCCATTGGGGCTGGGAAAAAAATCTGAATCCAAAAAACCGAACCGAACCTAATCCGAAAAAGTTGTACCAGATCCGAACCGAAATTGATTAAATATCTGAATGGATTGGTATTCAAAGAACCGAAACCGAACCCGACCCGAACCGAAATATTTCGGGTATCCGAATATATCTGAAATAGATTTATATACCTATATATATTACTTATTTTTAAATTTAATGTAGATTAGAAGCATCCAAAATATATAAAACAATTTTAAATTAACCAAAATATTTAAAAATATATACAAATAATCAAAACTAAATGTGTAAAATAGCTAAAATATACCTAAAAGAGAAAAGGTACTTGAAATATCTATTGATTTTCTATATACATATTCAAACTAAATCAATTTATATGTTAATTTTAAATATTTTGACATATGTTATTTAAATTTATATGTAATATATTATTTTACTTATAAATTTTCAGAAATTTATAGCATATAATAAATTTATTTTTTTTAAAATAATTTAAATGGGTTATCCAAACCCAAACCGAATCCGCAAAGATCCGAACCGAACCCGTAAAGATCCGAACCGAACCGAACCCGAACCGAAATTAAAAAATACCCTGAAATCTTTGAACCTAAAAACCCAAAACCCGAATAGACCCACCGAACTCGAACGGGTACCCGAATGCCCACCTCTAGCCATGATAGATCACCGTTGGAGTCGCCTGGTACGGTGTTAAATCATTTTTCATAATGTCTTTTAATTGTTTTCATTATTATGAAGGTATTTTTGTTGACTAATTATTGTATAGGACTAATGGGGTAAATATATTCTCAGTATGGTAGGGCCCAAACTTCAAGTGCTGGAGGGCATTGAAAAATCGCATGGGTGACTGTTTCCTCTGGAGCCCCACATCGAGGGCAATGATTATCACACCTCATATGTCTATAATTTAGTGTGCTTGTGACAGCCATGTGACATGTTATTAGTTGCCACATAAGATGACAAATCTTCTGAGGTACCTTAACCGTCCACGCCTGTGCCGGCGGTTTCGTGATACTAGGTTCGCAAACCGCGGTCTCCTCTTCCATCCTCAATAACTTTCGAGCAACATATCGACTTGACTGTATATTGTCCATTCCTTGTATAGCTATAGCAGTATGAGTCACGCCTGTGTGTTGAACTTATGGCCATACTCCTTATGAGAGGTATGTCGTCAGCAGCTACATAGTTTTCTAGTCGGGCCACATCTTAATCATGTGTCTCTTGGTTGATTTAAAAACTCACTGTCATGTTTGGGTGCAGGACTGGTGCAGATGGGGATGCTGGTCTCGCTGGTATGGTCGGAATCCAGGGATCCTCCCATACTTTCACCTCATATCCTGAGTGGATCTTTCGTCTGACTCCTAATAAAAGTAGTTCTCTTGCCGCCGAAATGCTAATCCACACATATGATGGACTACTGACAGAAAGCTGATGCAAAGGTGAGCTCAAACGATAATAGCGACCTCTCAGTACTCGAGCAACCAAAGAGTCTGGGAATTGAACCGATCTCCATAGTTGTTTTCCTAGCAGTGCAAGACTGAATTCATGAAGCATTCAAAAACCAATCCCGCCTTCCTCTCTAGGCATGCAAACTTTATCCCATGTTGACCAATGTATTCCTCGCTTAGGGGGGTTCGAACTCCACCAAAACTGTGCAATGGCACTACCTAGATTTTCACAAATCTTCAGCGGTAGCAGGAAGCAGAACATCACATATGTTGGTATGGCTAACAGAATGGACTTTATCATAACTTACTTTCTTCCTTTTGATAGCCACCTTCTTGTCCATCCATTTGCCCTATATCTTAGCTTGTCTTTGAGAAAGGAAAAAAGTTTTCATTTAGACCCGCTGATGTCCTCTGGTATTCCTAGGTAAGTTCTCATTCCTCCTTCATTCTGAATCCCAAGTGTATCTTTGATCTCTTGTCTGACATCCAGTCCAATCCTCTTACCAAAGAGTAGAGAGGATTTATCGAAATTGATGCATTGACCTGAGGCTTCTCCATATCGCCTGACCACTTTCATTACTTTTTCACACTCATGGAGCTCCGCCTTACAGAAAATAGGCTATCATCAGCAAAGAGAAGGTGGGATATCGAGGGACACGCACGCGTGATACGCATCCCCGTTATCTTCCCTTGACTCTCTGCGTGATTTAGAAAGCTAACGAGCGCTTCCATCCATAGAATAAAAGTTAAAGGGGACAGAGGATCCCCCTGCCGCAAACCTCTCTCCGGAACTATATTCCCTCTTGGCTGACCATTTATAAGAACCCTGTACTTGACTGATGTCACACACCGCATTATCCAGGCTATCCATATCTCAGAGAAATCCATCTTTCTCATAGTAGCCTTAATGAATGACCACTTCATCATATCATATGCCTTGCTCATATCTGTCTTGATGGTCATCCTCTTAGTACGTGCACTCGGCTTCGTTCTTAACGCATGGAACATCTCATGAGCTATCATTATATTGTCAGAGATCTGTCTCCCAGCAACAAAAGCTGACTGGGTTTCTGAAATCCTATCCGGTAGAACCTTTTCAATTCTCTGGCATAGGACCTTAGAGATTATCTTGTAGCTAACATTGCACAAGCTAATGGGGCGAAACTGACTCATCTGGTTAGGTTTGTCTACTTTAGGGATAAGGCATATGTTGGTGTCATTTAGGCCAGTAGGCATAGTACCTTCAAATAGGAATTGATTGACCATAAGAGTCAAATCGTCCTTCATTATGTCCCAAAATTTCTGATAGAAAAGCGCAGTCATCCCATCTGGCCCAGGGGCTTTCTCCGGATGCATCGCAAAGAGTGCCAGTTTGATCTCCCATTCCGTGACCGTCGCTGTGAGCGCATCATTATTGTGATTGTTGCAGAGACCTCTAATAGTGCATCCTCTATGTCCTCTGGATTTGATGATTGGAAAATGTGTCTAAAGTAACTTGTAGCAATGGCTATAATTCCTTCCTTATCCTGCACCACATTCCCATCTGCGTCCAAAAGCTCTGTGATCATATTCCTTGCTCTCCTCTGCTTCGTAAGGCCGTGGAAGAACTTTATGTTTTTATCTCCATCTCGCAGTCAAAAGACCCTCCACTTCTGTTTCCAAAACATTTCCTCTGCCTTAAGAGCACCAGACAATTCTTTTAAGGCGGCTGTGATCTCTTCAGTCGTGGCATCATCATTTGAAGAAAGATAATCGACTTTTTCCTTTTAACTATTCCACTGTCTTCTCCGAATTCGGATTATTCTGTCTTTTCCAGTCACTCAATCCTTTTTGGCAGCTAGCAATGTGCTCCATTATATTTGCATTAGGGGGAACATCAGGTGATTTCCACCCCTCAAGTACGACCTGTCTTAGCTCCTCATTATCCAGCCATCGTTTGTCAAATTTGAAGTTCTTAGATTTCCTTGACTGCTTCCTGAGAACGTCAGCGAGAATCGGACGATGATCCGAGCCCCATAATCTCATATACTGCATCTTAGTGTGGGGAAACTCTCATGCCATTCTTCATTTCCAATAGATCTGTCAAGTCGACATCTGACTGTAACTCTCCCAACTCTTTTTCCTGCCCACGATAACATGTTTCCTGTAAAAGGAAAATCTATCATCCCACAATCACTAAGCATTTGCCGGAAAGGTAAAAATGAGTTGTTTGGGTGTTTTCTGCCTCCTTCCTTCTCCTCATGACAAGTAATTTCGTTGAAGTCGCCTATCATAAACCAGGGTCCAGATCTTGTTGTTGAGAAACGCGTAAGACGTTCCCAAACTAGATCTCTATGTTCTAAAACATGGTCTCCATAGACAAACGTCATAAAGACTTTGATTCCATCAATAACTGCCTCAACATCAATCATTCTGTTATTTGAAAACAGAACATTTATGTGAAATTCATCCATAGAAAATAGAGATAACCCTCCACTGAGACCAAGTGGCTCAACGGTAAACAGACGATTAAAGCCTAAGTCGGTCTGAATATTTTGTAAAAGCCGCCTCTTATTCTTCGTCTCAGAGAGAAACACAATTCCAGGACGATGTTTTTGACACATCTCCATAAGTCGTCAATCTGTGAGGTCATTCCCAATGCCTCGACAATTCCAGCTTAATATTTTCATCGATGAGAACCAGATGGTTTACGAATTTGCATCACTCGCATATCATAAGAATAAAAGTAATTCATGGAATTGTTTTCTCTCTTTTTAAAAAAATTCAAAGGAATTTTTATTTATTTTGCATAATAATTCAAAGAAATTATTTTATTGTAGCATGCAGGGAAAATCCAAGGCAGGTTCTGTTAGGCAACAACTTCAGGCCTAAGGCATTGCTTGAAGAGAACCGAGGATCAGATCGTTTATAACCAAAGAGCTATGATACTTTGACTGTACCGAAACAAGAGAAAGTAATCGAGGACCAACTCCAACCCGGTACGCAAAGACGAACTAGAATAAAGAGAAGCTCAAGTGTTGAATTTAGTACGGCTCCACCGATTCAAGACGCTAACAAGGGAATCAAAGCCGTACGATCTTAATCATAGAACGCCAAAGTACCAAAGCCACAAGTTGAACACATAATCAGAGTGGCTAGGTTGAACATATCGCAAAGACGATTGTTACTGATTTGTTTCACGTTTCAACCAACAGACGACAAATCGAGGGTCAGGAACAGATCAATCAGTCTCGAAGAACGGTACAGATCTGGAAACTTGATCGATTACGGTACCGAAAGGATTATAATGAAGATGATGCAGAGCGAGGGTACAAATAGACGACAAAGATCGATCTCGTACTGAGAGACTAGTCGATCACCAAGGAGTGAATCGAGTAATTGATTCCTTTGCAGAGCACATATGCGAATATGGATTACCTGTTCTGGAGGAAGAATGATATCAGTGAGCCAAAGTTGGATATGGATCCTTACCCCTGGCTAATTTGGTATAATCTGGAATGCTAGAAACGACAAATTGTTCAGGGGTATAGACAGAGATCCACTGGAACTAGCCTGATATGCAGAGAGCGAATGCCAAGCGTGGTATCAGGCCAATGAACAGACTTTATCCCAACCCCAAGGAAACGAGGACGTGGAAACCCAAAACCGTAAGTTTGGGCAACATTTGTTTGGTGGACGGATCCTGGACTGCTACCGATCAGTTTAGTGAATGTGGTTGGGTTTGGAATGATATTATGGGACATGGTCAGCTATTAGGTTTGCGCAACTTCATAAGAGTAGAATCTGCTCTGCACTCAGAATTGGAGACACTGCAATGGGCAATGGAGAACATGCTTCAAAATCCGACATGCCAGAGCTTTGGGACTGATTGTAAGGAGATAATCGCGATGCTCAGAAGTCCTCATGAATGGCCAGGTTTTTCGACGGAACTGGAGAAGCTTATGACGTTGCGGATTTGCTTCCCAAACTTCAAGATCTTCTATGTTCCTAGGACACATAATGTAGTCTTATATTCTTAAGTTAGGACATCTAGATTTTTCTATCGAAATCTTTCATTTGTTGGTTGTTCTATTCCGGTCTGGATTCTCATACCACCTCAAGTTTGACTAATAGATCAGCCTTTTGATGTTAAAAAAAAATATTTTCAGAATGGTTTATTTTTCCAATTTTCCCAAGAAAAAAACTCTAAATAAGAATGAAAAAAGCCCTGAAAACTGTCGGTTCTTCTTTGTCCATAAACGTCAAGGCAGAAAAGGTAAACCTAAACAAACGATGGAGAATCCTAATTCTTGCTACTGGTCGGAGCTCTCTATCGAGATCTTGAGCTTACTGTTGGAACGTTTGAGTTTTGTAGATTTCCACCGCGCTAAGATCGTATGTCCTAATTGGTATATTTGCTCGAAACAAACCGTGCGGCGTAGAAGTGGATCTCCATTACTGATGCTGTGTACAGAAGATGATATTGAGCTGTTCAACCCGGAAGAAGATAGGGTTTACAAGACAAAGAGAGACTTTTCAGGGAGGCGATTTCTGGCAAACTCAGGTAACTGGTTCCTGATCCTCGATTCTGGATCGAATCTCTACATTGAAGATGTGTTTAGCGAGAAGAAGATCAATCTTCCACCTCTAGAGTCAATTAAATCTGACCTTTTTAGTCTTAAGCGAGTAGGAGAGAAGGAATTCAACGAGAAAGTAGTCGGTGGTTTCCCAGAGAAAGGGTGTAGCAAAAGTGTGGAAGATCTGAGAGGCCTTTTGTGGGTAGATGAAGGGAAGGAAGAATACAGTGTTGCTTGGTTTTTTGACAAGGGTGCCCAATATATATCTTTTTGCAAGAACGGGGAAGATTATTACCGTACCATTCCAACTCGGATTGGTGTTCACTATAAGTCTCAAGGCATATCTGATATGGTACTCCGGCGTGACTCTCTTTACGTCTACACGACTCGTCAATACGTTCGGCTCCTGGATTTGTCTGGACAGGAAGGTTTCACAGAAGTGCCCAAGAGGAGTTTTATATTACCATTCCTCCCAGCTTCTCCTCTGAATTGGGACGAAATCACATATGCAGACAGGTTAAAAGTTAGCTATAACATTGCTGTTACAAGATCAGGAGAAGTTTTGTTGGTTGAGAGCATCCTTTTTAAAGCAACCAGTTCTGAAATGATGCCTAGGAGGATGTTCCATCTCTACAAGACAGATCCTAATCCAGATTCGGAAGATATTCTCCATAGCGAGAACCTGTCTTTTGAGGTACATTCTCTAGGTAATGAGGCCCTCCTCCTCGATTCTGGTATCACTGTGCCTGCTGACCCTACCCTTGGCATCGAACCAAACTCCATCTACTTCACCCGTCATGACCGTGTCCGTAACTTTGCTAAGGAACCTTCATGCCCGGACATCTGTGTTTTCAATCTGGCAACAAAGAAACTCACACGCTTCCCCATCCTCTCCTACTTCAAGCCCAAGGATGCTCTATGGTTTCACCCTTGTTAATTTACTTCTCTGGAATTTCCAGGTTGTATCGTGTTTTTTTTTTCGCTGACTGATCTACCTTGCAGCAATGAAGACCCTCCAACACTTCCCCTTGGTTTCTCACTGGCTCTTTATTTGCTTCTTTCTTTTCATTTGGTGTCCTTTAGAGATTTCCTGATTTCGTTTTCTTGTCTTCCTTTTTATTTGTTGCATCTTATTTCTCTTGTGCTTTATTTAGTCTAATAATCTGTATGCCTTTTTGCTGGTTTTATAAACATGATCAGGGACCTAGCTTGCTATATTCCAGGTGTAGTTTTTTACTCATATAATGATGTTTAATTAACTAGACTTACCTTTTCTTACTTATTTTATAAGTTTTCCTCCACCAGTTATAGTACGTAGTTAAATCAACTTTTCAGATCATTCCTTTTTGTTGGAAGTATTCTTCTTCACAAATTTTTGTAAAATAATTAGAGACTGAATTTTGGGTATTAGCATCATATTATATGAAAAATAAGGTTTACTGGTTGGAAGAAGTAGTAATATTGAGCAACGAACGATGCAAACTGATTTGAAAAGTTCAAAAGACATTTCTTCTCATGCAGTGAGAAAATTATCTTCTATGTATCTCAAAAATTTTCTACTTTGACAAAACCGAGGTCTTCCAAACAAGTTTCTAAAGATGAAAAAAAAATATTCTCCCTCAGAAATTTTGGTATCCAGAATAGATATATAGCTTGATTCTGGTTCGACAACTGGACTTCCTTTAGTAGTTTCAGTCTCCAATTCAATAACCCAATTTCGAAATTCAAAATTTCCTTGAATGTAACTTTATCTTGTCTTCACTATTTTGGCTTATCCCTTCCACAAGACAATTGAGTTGACAAAAAATGAAGATTATTACGAATAAAAAAATAATGGGAAAACATTTGAGAGATTCTTAATGGGAGTCCTGTCTATATTTACTTGTGTGGTCTGGAAAATGTGCAGTGGTCTTCACTGGTTTGGAGTTTGATGTGGCATGGACATCATCATTGGCGCCAACACAAGACATTCAAATTATGAATCACATTCAAATTATGAATCCTTAGTCTCTGCGTTTTTGGTTTTAGCTTTTATCTTTCCTTTTTTATTTTTGAGTTCCTTTATAAAGATAAGTTTATGTAATTATGTTCCTTTTATCATTAGAAATTGTCTAATGAATTGGATATATATTAACACGCCTAAGGGCTCATTGTTAGGCATGTTTTAATTTTGAATACATAGAGTTTTTGTTTTATACCTTGTTCGATTCGATTCAATTCATCAAGTTGGTCTCAAGAACTAACGAAACTAACTCTTGATCGATCCAAGAACAGGTTTCTAAGAACCCTAAATTTTTAGATCGACCGGTCACCCATTCGTATGATGTGCCAGGTTGGTATAAGAGCTATGCTACGCTCTGAAACTCTCTCAACCGCTACGATGGTTCGAAAATCAACTCGTTCTCAGCAAGTCGATGAAGATATCCCAGCATCTCAACACTCTCTTGACAATCTTCAACGACAATTGTCGAGCTCACTGCGGTGGCAGCATTAACAACCCAACGCACAAACACTACAAAACGCTAGGAGCGTCAAGATCACTCGTGGTTCTGTAGACGCATCTGCACGTGCCGCCATAAAAATGCGAGGACTTTCCACACGTGCCGGCGTAACATACGGGAAGCTCATGAACTGTTTCTAATCGCCACTACCAATGCTGATTTTTATTGCCAGTGCAGCTTCTTTCATGATCGAGGTGCATTATGCTTTAATCTCAAAACTTGAATTCTCCCAGATTGCTTTTCACATTAACCAATGGTACTCAAATAGAGAGGCCTAGATGCATTGGATTTTAAACCTGAGGAAGCTTAAATCAAGGTATAAAACGAACTTTGCTGGACCATTACAAGAACACCAGATCTTCTGAATTTCTCCAAGGACGATTTGGGGAATCAATCTTACTTCACCTTCTTCAATCAGAAACGCTTCACACAACACCGTAGATGGCTATATCCAATAGCGAGACTGATTCTCTTATAAAGTAGTTAGAGTAAGCGGTGAAGAAGGCATCTGAACTAAGCATCACTGAAATCAGAATAGAGTCTGAGCAAAAAGCATATTTCAAACTTTATTTAGAATCAATCATATTAGAGAAAGATGGAGAGTGATGAACAGCTCTGATTTGATTAATTCTTTTACACTCCAAAATCGCCTTGCGAAGAAAAGATCCATTAAACTGGAAACACAAGATTGATCTAGCAGCAAAAGGTATTTACAGATCAAAAAATAAAAAGAAAGGGTTGGTAACCGGCCACGTAATCCCCCGGCAACCAAAATTTACATTGTTTTTTTTTTTCGAAAACCTTAGAGAGAGGTTGGAGAAAAGAGAGGGAGAAGTTATAATATTAGTGCTCTATGTTGGGCAGACGCAACTTCCTACGGCTGTGTTTTAGTCAAATATATAAATTATTTAAGATGTGCCACACTAATGTTGATGATGTTGTCTTATATGATCATGTGGAGAAGAATAAAAGTGAGGAATTTATTTCCTTGATATATATGTTTGAAGATCTAGCATTTGCAACTGATACATATCAAGAGCCTCCACAACTAGCATTAGTATCGATCGACATTCAGTCTTCCACATCAATCGACAGCAAGTCTGCAAGAACGATCGAGAACAAACTCTCAATATCGATCAACAACACCATCTCAGCATCGATCGACATGAACCCATGTTACCGATTGACACATATTCCTGGAAGTTCGAGTTGTCCTCCGGACATTGCAGATTCGGCACATGAGAGCACAGATGAATCAAGTTGAGATCTTACCTAAGATGTAAACAATTTTTTTTTCGAGTTAGAGGAGGGAGGAAAGCTTGAATATCTGGTTTATGATATGGAAGTCACTCTAGAATACTTTTTGGAGTTGGAAAAATGGGTTGAGCAGAAGCTTGATGATGAAGGGAACAATGTGAGAAAAGATATGGAGACTTCGTCAAAAGTTTGCATCAATCGACACCAATCTAATGGGATCGATCGATCTACCCCTATCATCGATCACCATCCACCTGATGATATTGATCGACACCCAGGGATGGACGAGATTCCAGGATACACAGTCGAATTGGAGCCGGCTCATGAAAGAGAGTACAAGTCTAGGGCATCACACCTTGTTGTCCTTGCTGGAGAGAGTAGACATTGAGATTTGTTTTGGAGCGAGTTCTCATTCTCATCCGGACTGAATCAGATATCTCCAGAAGTCAAGCTAATGACTGAAGTAAGCGCTGAGTGGGAGGCAACCCACTGTTAGGTAAAGGGAAATAGATACGAGGACAATGAGTTCCGCACCATCATTGATAGACAACCGGCCGGTGTCGCTCGACAAAGCATCACAAATATAAATCACCACTTAACTATGTTGATTGATACTCACATCAATGGCATGTATACTCGCAAAACCTTATTAATATTTTCCTTATGATTCATTTTCCCACCAATCATAGATTGTACAACACTGGTCACGGTGTTGCTTAAGTCCGAGGGAGGTTCTACTATTTTTTGTGTTTTAGTTAGCTAAAAAAATAAAGATCTACGTAGAAAGATTCCCATCATATCGACCGACGAAGACACGTTGATAACGATCGACACTACACCACCTGCGACGACCGATGCATCCATAGTCACATCGATCGATATTCAGTACGGTCAGTTCTATCGTTCTTACTTGTTATATTGAGTCCTTCTGATTTAGTTTTTTTTCTCACCACTTCGTCTGATTTACACTAGGGACAGTGTACTTTAAGTATGGGGGAATGTTTTACTAATATTAAGTTTATTTTTGAATCTTATTATATTGTTTTCAAAATTTTACTAAGTTCGAGAAGAGGACTATGAACTTATTGATTTTTACCTGTTATCTAACCACTCTTTAGCACTATTCTATATCTACTAATTACAGATAATACTAAAGACGCTAAAGTGGATCCACCTATCAACCATCCCCACTTGCTTAGATTGTGTGAAGGAACCAAAGCTGATCTCCAACACTAAACCTAACATAACCGGTTGTCTTGGGGCTTGAGGTACACTGGATTGGATTCCTCCTTCAGGTCTGAAAGGTACAATTCTACAAAATTTTGGTTTCCTTCTCTCCTCTTTTCAGCATCTAGAAAACAAAAGATCGAAATGAGTTCTTGAGATGAAGAGGGGTAGGTAAATTGCCTATGACCCCGTTATTCTAATTCAAAGGAATGATCACACTTTGATGAAAGCGAGGAGTAGGTACATTACAGATGACTCCATTATTCACCCACATTTTTGTCAAAAATAAAAAAAAAATATAAAAAGAAAACCAATAAGATAAACAAGATGGAATACATAAGCACCTATCTATGTCCACTGGCATTGAGTTAAAAAAAAGATCCAGAGAAGAAGGATATGGGGAGAAAAGAAACCAGAATATGACTACCTGTTTACTCAGATACCTGCTGGGGTAAGAGTCTAAGTGTCATTTGATAGATATTCCCAAGGTAAAGCAAACTCATATATTTTATGTTAAGAAATAAGGTTAGTTGAGGGGGATGTTAGATAATATTTGCTAAGTTGTTGGATAGATGAATTTGGCTGCTAAGCTAGGATATGGTATAATGTGCGTTTTTTATTAGGACTTTTTAGATGTGGATTGCAATATTGCAGAGGTGATAATTCTAAGTTTTAAATCATGGGAGTCCCTGTTGTTTTCATACCACTTTCAGATAGACTGCCCGTCTATTTTTGCTTGAGGAAAACAAAAGGGTAAGTCTGAGGAGTTGATATACCATGGATTTCGCTCACTTTCAGCCATTGTATATAAGCATTTTAAGACACAATTATTGTATTTTGGAGTATTTTTAGAGTATTAACAGGTCTAGGGACGATTTGGAGGAAAGTGGTGATTTTGGTGTATGTTGGAGCATTTTCAGTGCAGAACTGAACAGACGTGTCAGATGTTTATCTATCGATGTAGACCTTCCCACCGTTAGATTGTTCTCATATATTGAAAGAAGATAGAAGTTGAGTTATCTTTCCAATGCCATTGGTTTAAGGTCAATCGGCATTCTGTAGCAGAAGTTATGCTTGATATACTGACAAGTGGTTTGTCTGCCTCGCGAGAGAAAGCTGTCAGGAAGAGGAATGTATGTCGATCGATTCAACACTCTTAATATTGATCGATATTAATCCCAGATTGCGGTCAGAGCCTATTTTATGACAAACTAAAACCCAGAAACCACACAAAGTTACCAAGATACCCCTGAACGACCATAAGCTTTATTT